CAAATAGATTAAAAGAAACCAGTGTACAATGTTAAAGTATCCGATCTAGTGGAAAGTAATGCAAGTGCCAGCAACCAAGGGCACTGAAAAAGTAGATAGCAACTGATGTTAAGGCAATGACAACCAAGTACATTCATACCACACGGATTTTTTGCAACTTCAAAAGTCGAAGGAAAAACATATAATGGAATGTTAAATTAACATCGATCGACAATAGTCACGATTCATGTAATAACGATTAAAGACAAAAATCGAAATTCTAACGTACTAAATTTATCAGATATTCGAAAAACAAGAACAATGGCAATCGACTAGGTATTTACATATACTCCCAGTGTCTGATTTCCTTTTTGTTACCATAATTATTGGACTATATCAGATGAAAAAATATCATAAGTTTTACGACTTAAAGGGAGATCGCTTAATATATATGAAAAACTTCATCGGGAAATATGTGAATGCGCATTTACGTTAAGAATATTTCATATTAATAAGGATATTTCGAAGCATTAGGACTATTATAAATAGTTAGTATAATTATTTCAGCGAAAGATTAAAATAATATTATCAATAAGAAATCAAATATGCAGTAAATATCAAATTTATTTTCAAGTATTATCGTAATGTAAGTTCAAATAAAAATACTTAATGTTCTAATATTAAAAAAAAATAACGCAAGAGTCCTTTAAAGTAAACAAATTAACAAAATATTAATTTTTGAATAAAACAAATAATAATAATACACGTAAAATACAACATTAGAATGTATAAATAATTTGCAATACAAACATATCGGTACGTATGGTGGAATAGCTTTCTTTAAGAGTAAGTTAAAGCACTAACATGCGGGATAAATATCGCATAATTATCTAAAGGTAGTATTCGGTACTGTTGGAAAAGGTTACACAATACAAAAGTCATTAAGCGATCGTATGCGGTGATACTGTGTAGAGTAGAATACAGCGTCCGAGACCTTTCTTTTCATTTCATGGAGTAAATATATGAAATAGCGAAACAATAGGAACAAGAGTCGTATTACGTGCTTAGATTTCATGGCCTACTCGTGATATTTTTACTGTAAACAGTTAGCATTTTCCGTTTCTTTTTAGAAATGAACACTTTTCGCGAGATTTCTATCAGACAATTTTAATTGTTGACGTATGTTGCTTTAAAAAATAACTATTCCGAAATAATTATACTTCCAAAATTTTAATAAACAAATGAACGTTATTTAATTGTTTCGAACGTGGAGTTGTTCAACAATAGCCTTTTATATTCTTTTTGGAAAAAAATTAATTGGTAGTATTGATTTAAATATTATAGTATTGTTTTGTAGCATCAACTTAGTCATTCCCCACGTTTACAAACACAAACGCGCGTGCATACACATACACGCATTGACTACAAAATATCATATATTTATTAAGAAATAAATTTTCGTACGGGCATTTGAAAATAAAATTAAGTAAGTAATTGAATGAAGTGAAAAATAATATATTACAAGACATTATTCTGAAATATTGAGTCTTAGAAAAGATGATTAATCCAAAGTGCATTCCTCGTCCAATATATAAATTGTTTATTTTTTAGAAGAAAAAATGTTGTCAAAGCTGTATATATATTCATATAAACAATTAAAAATATGTCATTAAAAAATAACTATTCCTTGACATCATTATTAAGGACTTTCCACGAAATGATAATAATCGTACTCCCAATGAAATATTTTTTTCGAGTATTGATTGAATAGAATTTATTTTAAAATTGTTTTGGAATTTTTCATTAGAAATTCAATGGCAATTTTATATTTTGTATATTCATTGATGAACAGGTAGAGTTTACAAGTTCCATGTTAGTAAATTCTCAAAATTGCAATTGAAACCTTCCGGTTGATTATTTAACTTTTTTTGTTTATCGTCTATCTTGTTTAGTTAAATCTTCTAGTTTCTTTTGGAGATCAATCGCTACATCTTCAATACGCACCTATTATATTTATAAAAATAAATATTTTTAGATATATACTATAATTTTAAGATGGTAAAATTAAACATATTAATAAAATAAGATTTTGACAAAAATTTCATAAAACTATTGTAGATTTCAAAAATTTATTTAAAATGTCTATTATAGATAAGTAATGATCATTAATATTACCGTGTATATATATATATATATATATATATTAAATTAAAAGCCACTCACATGCTATATATATATATATATATATATATATATATATATATAGCATGTGTGTGGCTTTTAATTATTTTTTTTTTTATATAATTGATCATATGAATAGTTTTATGTAAGCAGTATTATAATGTAAAAATATACACTAACCAAACTGCAATTGTCAGCATATTATATTGTTTCCTAATGTATTAAAAGAGAAATTTTAAATCTCATTGACTCCACTTTATTAGATAAAAAAAGATTCAACGATACATCAACAACAAAGGATTTAAAAAGCGGTCCACAAAGTATCAAGAAAAATGATGTTGCAGCCAACATACAAGTTTTCAGTACACCGAGCACAGTTTCAAAACGAAGATAAAAGAGAAGAAATAAGTACGAAGTCTCCTTGAAAAATGCCAACTAATTTAAACTCGTCGAGCCCAACGCTCCTTTACCACTCCCCTCACGCCTCTTCATTTCGCGACATAAACGTCGTTCGGCGATGTTAATGATGCGTTGCTCGTCACGCACTGAATTCCGGTCTTGTAACGGCCAAGGCCGCCCTTCGATATTCTGCTCCTTCGGAAAATGAAGAGATCCATTTTATCGATAAAACTAATAGTATTCCTAAGATGCTATATCAAATACTCATGAATTGCGTTATATAGTAATCCTACTTCCATTAATAAGTACATTTTATAAATTTTTCGAGAAATAAATAGTTTAAAATTTTGTTTAAACGAATCATTCAAATAATATTTGTGTACAATATTTGTTGAAGATACTTAAAAATATACTCCAATACTTTATGCAAGTTTTCTATATTGTGAACTCTTGTGAATCTATTCGATATGAAACACCTTATATATGTATTTACAGGATGTCAATATGTGCCAACAATATTTTATTATTCTATTTATTAGTGTAACTAATTTTCTTTTTTAATGCAAATACCAGAATATTTTTTAATATTCCTATTTATTAATATATATTGTATAATTAACTAAAGAAAAAGAAAATTTCAACAGTTATGATAACAAAGCTTTTCACTATTATACGTAAACTCGATTGAACTGTTTTTATTCATTTTCTACACACCAAGTTAATTTTAGTAGATAGCGAGTTTTACTTTATTTATTCGATTATGATATCAATATTTAAGCAATTTGACCCAATTACATTACTATGGCATTACGCTAGTAAGTTTTTAATTAACAATTTATATTTATTAAATTGTAACAATATTTTTAATTATACTGTAATTTTTAATACTTAAAATTTACAATTAATACCAATGTTAATAAAGAGAGGCAAAATATAATTATAACGATGATAAATTATTATTTCACTCTGAAGTATATTGATCATTAAGTGACAACTAAAATTAGTATATTACACAATATGAATATACTATAAATGCCAGGCACATTCAGATAAATTATTTATGATATAAAATGAAATATGAATATAACCTACTTTTTCTACCGAAAACAAATAAGATAAATAATTAAAAAAAATAATTAAAGAAATTAAAGCTATTTAAATACTCTCTATATATATTGTAAATTATAAAAATAAAACTTTTGCTAATAACACAATTAAAGGGATTGTATTTCGTATCATCTTATTACAATGATCATAGCAAGAAGAAGAAAGGTAATTAATAGTCATATTAGAACAGAAATAAAAATCTGCACCGAATGAAGTATAATATAATTAACTAATGAACAAAGTAAAGCATCAAGCTTTAATATTAATAGTTGAAATATTTTTATATACACACAATTTTCAAAAAACAATTATGAAATTTTTATAAAAAACAATTCACTTTAATATTAGTAAAATAAAAAATAAAAAATTATACTTGAAATAGAAGTAATCATTATGGACATTAAACGCAAAAAATAAATTCAAAGAATTCGAGACTCGGTCAATTTTTTTCTATTAAAGCATGAAATAAAACGAAATCAATGTGTTGGGTACTTTTACAAAAAATATTACAAATGTTATTCTAATACTTTCACTATTTATAAACATATCAACATTATTAATAGAATTAACTTATTCATTTCGTAAAGGAACCGAAAAATTAATATTTAAAATTCTACAGTTTTATTGTTCCAGTATAAGAGAAACTGAAGAATAATAAAAAATTATTTACCATTAAAATTGACTATTTATATAAATATTTATTTTCCAAAAGTATGACATTGTTTCATACTATTGTAAATAAAGGAATTTTATCCTGATTATAATTTATATTAATTAACATATTACGTATTTTCAAGCAGAAAATTACAAGCATAAAATACAGTTGTCATCTATAAATTTTATAATGTAATGTTAACCGAAAAGTTTTATAATTTTCGTCAAATCTAATAAAATATAAAACAAAGCTAATTCAAAATCCATTAGAATTATGATCCAATTTTTATTATTATATTCACTACACATACGTATCAATCGATACAATTTCAATATATTACATTATTCTTATTGTTGCCTTTCGAACTTAAAATAAATTCAAAGAAAAAAATTAAAACTGAAAATATATATCCAAAAATCAATATAGATATCGATTGCTGCATTATATAGTTATGTTTATCCGTATTTAAATGATTTATTTTATCCTCAAAGCACACAGTTTTTTCTTTATGATTGTGCTCCCAAAGTTCAAAAATGCCAGAATCTAGAAAGCGCTGCGCAAACCAATTAAATTTTTCAACATATGGAGATCCTCGTTCAAAATACATACTACTTCTTACACTAAAAAATTCAAATTCACTAAATCGTAATAATGGACATCCATTAGATTTCTCTTTTACCTTCATAATATCCTGTGCTTTGGATTTACTTGTGAAGCAAAGAATTTTTGTGTTCTCTTGGAGTGATTGGAAGCAGTTTTTATTACCTTTCACAATCTGCAACTTTAATTTGAGGTTTCGAAATTGATCATCTGAATCTTTAAAATAATTTGCAAAGAAACCTTCATTGATCTGAGGAAACATTTTGGATTTTTCAACTTCTTCAGCGGTCGATAGTGGTAATTCGTAAGTTTTTACATGTGTTTCTGTAATTTTTGCAAAAATATTTGAGAAATGTGTGATCGACAGAAACACGATGCAGAAAAATATTATTCTGTCGCTAGATTTCCTCGGTGTCTGTGTCGATTGTCCTAGAAAAACTCCGATCAATGCCAAATAACCAAAACTCTCTTTTGGTAATTTAAGCCAATAACTCACGAGGATAAACATTAATACAATGCACATATTGATCATATAATTGCAAAATGCAGCGAATGAAGTATCGATTTCAATCATTGCTGTCACTGAAACCAGAATACCGAAATTGTCAAAAATAAAAGGTATACTTTTTTCAACATTTTCCTCATCTAACATATTAGCCGTCGGATAAAATGGAACTGGTGACATATCAAATTTATTATCTCGTAAGCTTTTGATTATCTTTTGTATTTTATCTTTAAGTATAATGGAACTTTCGTGAATTAAATATTTCAACGATACTTCTCCTTTAGGTATTTTTTCAGTTATTATCACTTTAGTCGTGTAATTAATAACTTCTCCAAAACTGCGTAACAATTTTATTCCCGATCCATCAAAAATAAAGCTTTGGTTAAGGATATTAACTGTCATAAACGGTGGTAGATATATAAAAGGAATTTTTAATACGTATCCCTTCATATCGACAAGTTTATCAGGAAATAATTTCGTTTTCGATGTATAAATTTCGCTGTCAAAAGTTGATAGAAAAGGATTATAACTGTTCATAATCATGCTTAATTGGTGATTGTATTGTGAATCTAATCGTATAATAGAAAAATCTAAAAACTTCATGAACCAAGCATGACGTAAAATCAATTGTAACCAACTTTGGGTAATAGAATTACTCTTCAAATAAAGTAATAAACATCTTGGACGTATAGTTCTTGGAGATATGCTGACTAAAAAGTCTAATAAAGTTTGAAGTTGTCATAAATGAATACTTTCACTGTATAGCAACTTCGATAAAAATACAATGTATATTGTCGTTTTTCTAGGATAATCAAATGTTGGCATTTTTACAATTGAACTATTGATAATTTCTTGTATATTTGATACGTCAACAATAACTATTGGTGAGAATACTACCATTTTTTTAATAATACGATCTTCTTCAATAGATGTAGTTACTGAAGTATTTCTAAAAATTGTAATCTGATAAGGATGAATTTGATAAATGTGATCAACTAAAATATTCATCCAAATATCTTCATTAGCGTTTATGAAAAAAATATTTAAACTTATAAAATAATACAAATACAACATTCTCTTATGCTTAGAATCAAAGCTTGAGTATTACTGAATCACCTTTGTATTCTCACCTTAAAAATATTAGCAATTTATCTATCGTAAAGCACAAAGATACTATCTAACTATTTATTATAATATAAATATTCATTCCACCTTATGAATCATATTTGTGAACAACGGTATAATGTTTGATTCCTTTGTTATAATAAATTGCCCATTATATTATTTCGGTCGAAAGATTCATTTGTATTTATGATTTTTATTAATTGTCAAGACAATTAATACTATATATTTCTAACTGATAATTTTTCTTTCTACCTCGTATTTATAAAATCGCAACCGTTTTATCGATTTAAATCACTATTTTTATCATCATGGTTAACATCTACGATTTTATTTATTAATGTATTTACCTTTCCAGATAATTTGTTGACACTTTTTTTTTTAATTGCTATTGATCCACCGAACTGTATAATTTTATTTATAATAAATAGCCTTATTCATAAAAAATAGTACAACTGTAAATTAAGATGTTCACTGTACGTGATTATCAGGAATTTTGCATACAAATTTTAAGGTAATTAAGTAATTTATTTTAATTGGATGAAAACTTTTTTTGTTTAAAACATTGAAAACCGTAGTTAATATAATTTTTAAGTACTTTTATATTTTATTTTCTATGTATTATTTTATTCTATTATTAAATAATTACTTTATATTTATTGAAGGTCATAGTTTTTTGAAATTTTAATAAATAAATATAGACATATCTTATTAATTAAACAAACACTTTTTATAAGGGGATTTGTGTTGTAATTTCTATATTAATTTGTTTAAATAAAATAATCGTAAATCTTAGTATATTAGCTTTATTAATTTTTGTTATTTAAAAATATAAATCAGTTGATTTTGTTATTTTATTATAATATGTAATTGTCATAAATATTTAATAATCTAATAGCAGGATTTTTTTATTATAATTTCATTGTTTTGTGCTACAATAAATCTTTTAAGGAAAGCTTTAATAAATTTCTTTAACTAATTTAACTAATTAATGAATATTTTAATTCATTTTAATATTTTTTATACACAGAATTTAATATTTTATTAATTATAATTAATTTAATAAAATAAAAATATTGTATTCTAGTAATACAACTATGACAGTAAGTTATGAGTTATGATGTATATATTTTTTGTGTCAAGGGAATATAATAGAATGTAAGATACATGATAAAGCGTACAGCTTAACTGCAATAGTTATAAACAAATTTTAATTTGTTTCGATAAATATTGATATATATTACTGAAGATAATTCAACTGAATATTTATGAATATATTTTAAGTACAGTTGAGCAATGTGTTTGAGAGTAATTAAATATTAATTTATAATAAGTTGTACATAATCAGTATAATCGATATAGTATTGTATATAGTAAAAGACAACAAACGTATCGCAGCTAAATTAAAAAGTGTAACTAGAGCCAAATAGTTTGAATTAATGTCCATCCTATACAGTTTGAAATTATCTTCTTTGAATAATTCAAACATATATATATATAAGCATAATATCATTGTAATTTTATTAAGTTTTCCAGTGTTGCACAATTAAAAGTTATTTATATTATAATTATTAGTTTATTATATTATTAGTTATTTTATTAAATGATTCATTAGAAATATTGTTCACTCAATAAAAAATACATAATATATGTATAAATGAAGATAGGTGTTTATGTATTACGAACTATTATAAGAAAAACAATTTAAAAAAATTTTGGTTGTAATAGGAAATACTTATAGAATACTTATTCAGATTGCCGTTATTTTTCATTGCTTTTCTAAAAAATTTCAAAAATTGACATTTTAATTATTGAACCACAAGAATATATCTGAGAAAAAATTATTTATCATATTATGCTCTAAATGCAAAGAATGACAGTAAAGTTAATCTCTTATTTCATTACTACTATCTCATGTGAATTTCCATTTCAACATAAAACGCTTACAGACTTTATACGAGTAATTGAATTTCGTGAATATCCGAGCACACAACGAATATGCAAAGGAGCTCGAACGATATATCTACAAAATCCAGTCTCAGATTCCCATGCAGAGGTCGGTAAAACAGAGCTCTCACGTTCCTGTAAAAATACGCGTCGAAGAGGAATGGGAAAGGTGAAATGGAGTAAGAAATGAGCGAAGGAAGATCACCAAAGAACGGTGTGATCAGAAAAAAAGAATAGAAGGTAAAAAGGCGGCGCCTTCATCGAACAAAGGGACGTTCTAAAACGCAATGCAAATACAAGGGGCGCACTGGTTAGCCTTGAAAAATCAGCGTACGCATCCTCTCGCTCTTGAGGGTATTACCCCTCTCTTTTTCGAGTTTCATCTTCGCTCGTCTGGTTTCTGGCCGAGATATAGAATTTACAGATGATTGCATGAGATCGTCTTTTCGCAATCGCTAGACATAAGTAAGCAAAGTTAGAACAACAGGTCGAAAATATAGAATAATCATTGTAATTCACTTGCATCGTATCTTTAATTACCGATTACAATCGGAAAAGAGAAAGAGTTGTATTACGGTTATAAGGGACAATATTTTGAAATGGACTTTTAAAAAGAAATCTTGCAATTCACTCAAGCTTTTTAATGGAATGGTATCGCATACACTTAAGTAATATTAGGTTGAAGAATGATATCAAAATGATACCAAGTCTCGGATGAATAATTGTTAAGCTTGTAAATGGAGAAAAAAATGGTCGAGGATTATATTTAAATTATTGGCTCTTCTAACTGATATATTTAAAAAAGATTCCTTTAGAATTTTATGATTTATATCTATAATATCATTTTTTTACTAATTTACATATATTTCAAGCTCAGTTTCAACAACATCAAGGTTTTTTTAAATATTTGATTCACTCTATTATATAATATTTACTCTAACAATATACTAATTTATTAACTTGATTATTGTAATATATATGTATGTAATGAAATATTATTTTTTTAAATGCATTTCAGCAAAGAACAATATGAATAAGAAATATATTTTTCCTAAAGAATAATAAAATTTTCTTTATATAATCATTTAATATAACCTTTAAAATAATGAAAGCACCAAATAATTAATATATACTGATTTTGAAATTCCAATAGTTAATCTCACCAAATACTTATCAACACACTGAATTAAGACATTTTGGGATGATAAATGATTTGAATCACATCTAACAATTATCTAAATTAAAAGAGAATTTACAGTGTACAACGGTAATGTAAATGATTTTCCTTCACTTTTTAATCTATCTTTATGGAAATTCGTAAATAGATAATTAGAAAGCTAAATAATAATGATGTTGTATTAACTTTAAATGATATAAATTGTAATTGATTCACTCTTAAATAAAATGCAGAAATAAATCATTTATTTATATGAAATATATCTAATCATTACTTCTTACATACTTATTTAATAATAATAATAATACTCAATAAAAACTAGTGTGAATATCGTGGCTGGATAAGAGAACCTAAGTTGATAATCAAAGATATAAGAAATAAAAGGAAATAAGAAATAAAAAGAAATAAAAGGACTGTAGGACTGCCAAAATGATTAAGTTATTAAGAGTTCTTTACAAATAGAATTTCTCACAATAAAACAGTATATTCTTATTTTAAAAAGTTGTAAGTAGAAAAACAAATAGCAATCATACAAATATTCTTGTAATATCATTTCAAATCAAATTCCTTACAAAAATATAGTTTTTATCTTCATTAAAAAGTGCAAACTGAATTCCTTTTTTGGTTTTCATTATCATTCCTTTTTTGGTCAAAAGGATTCAGTGCATTTGTGCATTTATATAAATATGTGTGTGTGTGAGAGTGTGTGCAAGTGTTTTTGAACAAATAAAACGATTCTTTTTATAATATCCGCGTATTTACACGTACATTAATAGTATTCTAAATAGCACCGTCAAGAAGATGAATAACACAGTCATTTCTTGTTTATACCATTATTCATTACATCAAAATTTTTACTAATGAAAAGATGAAACGAATTTTTTATTAAGTTTCTACATTCATGCATACAAATAAAAATAATATATAATACTAA